CCTATATATATTATATATAATATATTATATATATTATACATATCTTTCTGCGGATATTTTAACGAAGGACGCTCGTTGCTAAACCTGCCACTATCGCTGGGCGTAATGCTAGGGTTAAATCACACGTACAGCATTATGCACGACTCACTCACGATGATAAGACAGATATATGATATGGAATGCGATCGGGCGTAAACAACCTGTGATGTGTTACGGAGATGTACTGTATGCTGCGATCGCGTGTGTACCGGTTTTAACAAATTTAGTGAACTTAATATGTTCTAAGTGACATATCCTTGACGAATGTAGAAAGATTCGCAACGATGTTATCTTGCAGGGCCGTAGGCTGAGGAAAATGTTTGGGGGCAAAATTTCATGACTCAACTGTGTAATGATGAGCGACGGGCGCAGCTCTTGATCGACGTCCATAGTGTGGTAGGGGTTGGGTCTGAGACAAGGCTTTCACGGATAGAAAAAATGACCGAAAAAATCACGTTAGGGTTATTTACGATTATTAGCTAAGCTTATTTTTTAATTTTATTCTACAAAATCTAAGGGGCAGCTGCCCCTTGCCCCCCCCCCAAAGGATACGACCCAGTCTTGCGCTAATATATACAGGTTTACTCCTAAGTGACATCCAAAGGGAGTGCAAGGTGTATCGATTCGATACGGATTCTAAATCAAAATTTGAAAATCGATATCTTGCATTCTTGTACATACAGGTTTAACCCAATTGTATTATTTATCGTGATGACTCACGAATTGAGTACAAATGTTATTAATTATGAATTCAAAATATATAATCGATTATTGATTCAAAATGATTAGAAGGATAGATGGCTTGTGCTTACGCTATAGCTTGTGTGTGTAACCATAAAGTATTGCATCACGCGCGTTCTTTGGAAATGATAAATTATAGCCGCGATGAATATTTTATGCTTCTAGGAAAATACTCTACTTGGTAAAAGCTGCTTCAACAAGTGCGCGTACATTAGACTTGCCTCATATAGTACGCACACACGCACGCACGCACGCACGCACGCACGCACGCACACACACACACACACACACACACACGCACGCACACACACACACACACACGCACGCACGCACGCACGCACACACACACACACACACACACACACACACAACCACACACACACGCACTCGACCTATTTTTAATACGCTTATACGGTCAATATTATGTTAGATGCGCCTCTTTATACTCACTGAAGCAGTATACTCCATTAGTCGGTTGGGTGCGACTTAGGTGTACCTCTGGTCAATCGTGGAGCGCTCCTGCGAGCAAGGAATACATACTGATATATACTTCAATATATATCATACTCCCCTAATATACCTATATATATTATATATACAGCTGGCTACAGCCATAGGCCCGCCACCGACTCTCCAGTATGATAAGCAAGGCCGTATCACCTCTCAGGCGCGAAAACTGTTACCAACGCGGCGAAGCAGATGTGCACGTGTGATGAGGCACGCCAGCGTAGGGCGCGGTGTGATTGGTCACGCATGCTTAACTCCATAAAACTGAACATTTTGAAATAAATTTCTTCATTATTTCAAGCCAATTGTTTTCCTATGGCCCCCATTACGATGGCAATCTGACGCATTACTCGTGGGCCGCCTATTCTGGGATCGTGTGGTTCGGATACCCTGACTATTTTCTTTCCACTAAGACAACAAATGTAACCCAATGATTCAACCCTACAATTAGAATTATAAAAACGCGTTTCCATGACGTCTTTTCCAGGAGGAGCGTTACACCTGAGGTTAGGTTACTATATTCGATTCCAAAGGTAAATAATATTACGTAGGCCAGTAAGTAGCGTATTTTTTCCTGCTCAAAAACTTATATCTCGGTTCTTCTGGCGATCTATTTTTCTTTTTCTGGGCCTCTGTCACAACGCCCATGTCATAACTCTAATGCGGCATAGCTTGCAAGCTGACATTTCCCGGTCTCGCCCATCCAGCTTTAATATTGCTCCCACTCCCCGGCGCCCCCCGACTATGAAACTGGAACTACATTAATTTTTCGCCAGAACTGATAACTTAGATACCAGCAACTTATCTTAATGTAACTCTAATAATCCTCCTTGAGAAATTTAACAAAGCGTGGTCACCCTAAATAAGTGTATTCTCTATTTATATCCTAAGCTATGAAATTGTGTCTCAGACAACTGCTGCAGAAATTCGCATCATAGAGCTGGCCAAAAAGTTTCTTCTTATTCCGAAAATAAAAAAAAAGTAAAAAAAAAAAAAAAAAAAATAAATAAAAGCGGAGCATAGATAGAGCGATGAATCTGTAGTTAGTTTAACATTTGAATACAAGTGTATGTTTTGTAGGCAGTAAGCCACGCCTAATGCGCGGGTTCATATATTAGTATTAGTCTTTGGAAGGTATATTTAAAATAATTATTATTACTGTCGCTTCATTGGTATATATATTTAATCCATGTGACAGTGCACGTGAACTAAGAAAGCCCATAAATGCTTGCT